TCTCTCTCTCTCTCTCTCTCTCTCTCTCTCTCTCTCTCTCTCTCTCTCTCTCTCTCTCTCTCTCTCTCTCTCTCTCTCTCTCGGCTTAATGTATCGAACTAACTTAGACAATGGTCCCGCTGGACCTACACATTCTTTTTTTCCTTTATTTTTTCCCTTTTTTTTTCCTTTTTTGCTTCTTTTTGTTCCTTTTGTTCTCTTTTCTGAAGTTTTTTCCCTTTTTTTCCCTTTGTTTTTCCCTTTTTTGAAGTTTTTTCCAATAGAATGGTCCAGCACATGCAGTCTCTTTCGTGCACAGAATAGGCTGATCCAGCACATGCATTCTTCTTTCCTTCTTTCTTTTCCTTTTTCTTCTTTTTTTTTTTTCCTGTTTTCCCAAATAGGAAAGTACTGCGTTTTTTTTGTGTTTTTTGAAATGGGGGCTAATGGGCTCCTGCAGTCACCCGTTCTCTTTCTTAAAACAGTGATGATTTTTTTTTCTTTTGTATTTTTTTTTTCTATCGACAAACGTTGTGTACTTTTCTTTGTTTGGAGCCCTTCGATGATTTTGGTGGTCAGTTTGGGCCCTTTCTTAATTATTTAGCGTCTCATCTTTCGCTTGGTTCTTTCTCTCCTACCCCTCCCCCTTCCCCCCCCGCCCCCCTCTTTCTCCTGCTTAGCTTGTTCTTGGTAGTGTACATATGCACTATAGAACTACATGAGCTCAGGCATTATTAGGACTTCAGGAAGGTTCATCGAGCCATCATGCAAGTTTGCGACAGTTGGTCGAAGCTTCTCGAAAGCAGATCGCCAGACTCCGAGCAGACATAGGTATGTGTAGCGGCTGGTTCTGTCCATCCGCGGATTCGTCTTCTTGAACCTGAAGTGGCTTCTGTTTGTCCGCGGACGTGTCAGCGTCAACCTGAAAGTGGCATTTCTGTTTGTCTGCGGATGTGTGGGCTTGAACCGGAAAGTGGCATTTCCGCTTGTCTGCGGATGTGTCGGCTTGCACCTGAAAGTGGCATCTGTTCATCCGCGAATGGACTGCTAGTGGTATCATCTTGGCATCCAGGGTAAGGGGTTGCCTCTCCCAAAGGATTTTCCGAATAGATGGAAGATCCTACAGGGGGGGAATCTTGATAGATGGGTGAGGAGGGGGCGGGGGGGGTCCAGCTGGCAGTTCCCAGGTAAATAAAAAATCCATGTTTTTGGCAATTTCCAAAAATGCGACGTTAATGCTGGAGCCTTTGATCCCATAACTGCTCCTCCTTAGTGAACACGAATGCATTTTCGCTAGGGAGGGATATAAGGGACTCGGGACCAAGCCTGGGACTCGCTAGACTGGAGACGTTGTCAAGACGAATGCGTTTTTGCGAGGGAGGGATATAAGGGACTCCGGACCAAGCCTGGGATCAGACTGTGGTGGGGAAGCGGGACCAAGCCTGGGACCAGACTGTGGTGGGGAAGCGGGACCAAGCCTGGGACCAGACTGGTGGGGACCCGGGACCAAGCCTGGGACCAGACTGTTGCGGGGAAGTGGGACCAAGCCTAGGACCAGACTGGTGGGGACTCGGGACCAAGCCTGGGACCAAACTGTGGTGGGGAAGTGGGACCAAGCTTGGGACCAGACTGATGGGGAAGCGGGATCAAGCCTGGGACCAGAGTGTGGTGGGGAAGCAGGACCAAGCCTGGGACCAGTTGACAGTGAAAGTTCTTGGGTTCCACTTTCAGGTGAATGAAAAATGGGACATTAACGCTGAAGCCGTGGATCGTATAAACAACTACTCGTCTTTAGTGTCGGGGGATTGTAAATCTTGTGAATTCGCGAACGCGTTTTTGTGAGCGAGACCTACCGCCCTCACCCGAATCGAATGCGCGGTCATTATAGCCATATTTTGGGGGCAACGTCCAGTCCGCACACAGCCATAATGACCGGGCGCCTCCCCAGACGGTGGGTATCGGCTTCATGGTGAATCGAATTCCAAAAGGTGAGAATGGTGGACCTTTGGTTATGACAAACCATACCGTGTAAGTGTTCATAAGTGGGTCATTTTCGCAGGCTGACCGTAGGCATCGGATGTCTACGCCGTGCTGTCTTTGTTTTTTTTTTTTTTTTTTTTTTTTTGAAACCGAAGTGACAGGCCTTATGTTGCGCAGCTGCTGTGCTGCTGCTCGTACTGTACAGAATCCGGATTCTTCTTATTTTGATTTTATAATTTTTCGGAGTTTGATATTAAATTTTAAAAATTAATTTAGGTTTAAATTTCTGTGTGCTCTTTTGATGGTCTGACTGTAGCTATCCGCATAGTCTGTGATCTTTACCACCCGCTTTCTC